TTAGCGTACTACAGGCGTTATTAGGGTTGCACGCCAGTCACCTGGGCCCGATGCCGCCTCCGGTCATGTTGACTTTGCCCTTTCGCGGGGCGCAGATGAAGGAGAGAATATGGAGCGCGGTAGATGCAGTGCATGCCTACTATCGCTTAAAACTAATTCAGGCGCAAGTCACTGTCCCTGCACTATCCTGTTGTGGAGCATACGGTGGAAGTCGTCGAGATAAACGATCGAACGGTCATGTGTGTGTGTGGGAGGGGGCAGGGGTGATAGAGAGGCCGTTTAAACCGTGTGTCGTGAAGGTGACCTGTAAACATTAAAAAAGGGAGGAGGCTTCGAGATGATTGTTTGGTTGTCGTTACCGACTATTTTTTAACGTGCCCCACAACAAGGTGAGCGCAGGAACGATAATTTGTGCGTGCTTTAGTTTATGGTGACAGCACATGTGAGTAGCATCTATCGCACACTCTCCATATGAACCTAGTGTCAAGTCAGAAAAACAAAACGGGATCTGGCGCGGTGCTTGACAAGGCTACAAGTGCCACACACGCCTAGTCTTCACACGCCGAGAATGGGCATCAACCAGTGACATAACAACGCGGCAATCTCAACGTTACTTACAGCCATCAGACAGATAGAAACAAGATAACCTTGAAATGACATATGAGTCAATAAGACTTAAGATGCTGCAAATGACTTAAACGTGAAAATGTTAGCATTTTTCCCCTTTGTCTGTAACCAATGGTCATATTATTTCAAGTAAATTGACAGAATAAAGCGAGATTTAAAGCTGTTCTTTTTTAACCGTAATGTCAAAACGTGTCAATAATTATGATGGACATGTTCAAGGCTAACAAGAGAAGCTTACAGTTTTTGTTAAAGTGTGATGTTACTGAGATAGCCACGGGGTTATGTCTGTGAGTTGGGTAATTACGAATAAATAAATAAAATCAAGCAAATGGTGTAAACTTGAGCTTTCACTAGTGGATAAGAACGATTTTTTTGGGAAAAATTGAATGGGCATTTAAAACCACAATGGACTGGAATATTTTTTTGCCAAATAATAATCCATAGTATGTGCAAATGACTTACAAGAAGATTTATTTCTGCCAGTCGAAGTAACCAGTTCTGGCGAAGCTCAGGAACCAGCCGACTAGCTGTGGCCATTCGAAGGATGATGTCAGTTAAATTTAAGGTATGCTCTCGCTCAGTTGCTGTAGCCACACTGTTTGGGGTTAGAAATCGCTGCAGGTGTTGTAAGCAAGCGACAATCTCCATCCAGATCTCAATAGAAACCGACAACTGTGCGTAGAATCCCCCGGTGGCGTGAAACTGGGAAGTGAGTACGACGTACTGCAATCCGCTAGTGCAAGGAGAGCGGAAAATATGCCTTTGGTGCGCCTGAAGGCCTTCCAATTGACGCTGCTCAATGTCAACCGCCATGTCCGATTTGGCATAGGCTTTTAGGGAATTAAACGCGGCCTGTAGGTAGCGGCCTTGTGGAGCTGCACGCTGTTCCAGCAAGTGATAAAACGAGACCATTATGACCATTGGCACAGTTTCGATGCTCCGTATGCTCCACGGATCATTTGCACAAATTCCCTTTCCTGTCAGGTGTTTGCGCTTCTGCAGTCCCTCCATTTCGTCATCGACATTCTTCAGCCACGTTCTAATATCATCGAGGATTTGAAAGTCGCCGTAAAGGTGCAGTTGAATGCCCAGAGTCATTTCGCAGCTCAAGAAGAACAGGTGCTAAAAGAAGAGCATTGTTTGTTAATGAAAGCGTAGTTACTTAACCCAACCTTCGGCAACGATAGGCTGCTTAACCCCACAAGCTCGTATAAAATGAGAGTGGTGTTCATAGAAGCTTTTCGGGTGGTAACTAGTACGAAAATGTACAGGTGAAAATAAGGGTAGTCGTAAAAGAGGAGCACGGTATTTAAGTACTCTATCCAGTACACGAAGTAGCGCGCATTTTACAAAATCGTGTCGTAACAACTGTGTCGTAAACTGTCTAGTGAAGCGCTGGCAATCACTAAGGGACTTATTTCGCGAAGAGCTTACCAATCAACAACGGTCATTAATAATTAAAAATTAAGGATAAACTTGATTCGTAATTCAATAAACATGACCTAATTTAATTAAGTACTTACAGTTATGAAAACGCAAGAGACAATTCTACCTGTTAATCCGAAGCAATGGTCACTTTTATTAAGCATAGTATGTCGGTCAGTAGCACGTAGCCCGAAAATGCCTTAGCCTCTTCTCAAAAACCAATCATAATTCACAAGGTTCCTCCACGTAATAGAGAACCGCTGCTGCAACAAAACACAACTGTCAATCATTGCAGCACCTGTTGTATTGTGGGTACCGATGAGCCACCATAAGGTTTAGGTAGTCCTTACTACAACGCAATTAAGTCACGGAGTACGTGTTCGACAACAAAAACCCTTAGAGATGCCGCGGAGACTCAAATGGAGTGGAGTGAAGCGCTTCCCATAGCTACAAGATGGCAAACAAAACAAAACATACTAGAAAAATTAACGTAGATGATTATCTATTTTGAAACCAGTGGGGTTACATACTCTATCCTGAATCAACCTTCGACTTACGAAAATCCGCTCCACAAACAGGTACCAGAGGAAAGATGGCAATTTTCAAACTTCCTTTACAAAAAGTCAGAGTAGGGGAAAATTTTTAGCATGCAGGCAACCTTTTGGAGTTTGCTGATCTCCCTGGGTTGGAGGGAAAAGTTAGATATTATTAATTTATAATCCTAATTTAGAATTGCAAAGGGCTTGTGCAGAAGAACATTTATTAATAAGTGGGAGACAGAAAACTTAATTTACTTATGTGTCGAACTCTGGGCATCGTGGAGCTAATGCTGAGTATACTTTTCATCTCATGAAAGGTTAATCGATGTGCCAATCATTTCAAAAAAAGTGATGAAGCAGGGTTGTAATATAAGTTATTGGACAGCATAGTCACATGATAACCCAGTCACAACAGGATGCAAGCTTTGAATGACCTTTCCCCGACAGTCTGTAAAAACAACATTATAAGATGTTTACTTTTGTACTTAGAAGTACTAAGGGTTTATCGATATTTTTATGAATTCAAATGTGGCTTTTCGAAAGACGCACAAAAATGATCTCTCTCGTACTTACTTTGTAGTCAATTATGATTTTTTTCAATTCTCATGCTTGAAAAAATATTGTTGCATTTTGAAAACAATTCTCTGATTATGCGATTGTTTGAGATTACGAAGTATACCTTCGACAGAAACGAGCATCTTGTCGAAAGGTCAGTATAAATACAAGGCAGGACTAATTATAGAGACCCCAAAATGTCATCGAATGATAATAAAAAAACTACTTTTTCATGTTCAGTAGCCCGACTTTGATTTTTTTCATTAAATTCCACCAATAGGAGGACGAATTTTCATTTTCGTTAAAGTCCGCCTACATAAGGATGTGCCCATCCTGAGAGGTAGACCGATGTACAAGCAAATACTTTATACTCCCGATCAACAACCGGCAAGACATCGAACTCGACTGCTCAATGGTTAGGACGTTTGCCCCTGACCGGCGAGGCGCGAGTTCGAAACT